CACCATATCAGTGACCATGATGGTGGTTATGTTATTGATCAGTTGTTTCCTAGAAGAGATAAAACTTGGATAAACAAAAGTGTCGAAATTGAGACAGGAATTATGAGACAACCCAATATGTCTACAACTGCGACAAGTCTCGCCGATTAACAGAAACAGGGTGTTAACTGACATGTACCAGTGACACTGAACCCATCAACATATTCTCCGGTCGTTTGAATGCCAGCATCGAATAGGCATCAGAAAGCCCTGAAATAGTCAAGTAGAGTATCATATTTTCTTGAAAGTCACTTGAAAAGGATAAAGGATAAAGCATTTGCCGTTGATCAATCCCTTTTTGGGATGCGGCACGCATTCTACTTCCATTTGTACATTCGTAGTGGCGTTTGAATGCGATGTGGCCTATACAATGACTTGCGGGGGCCAGCCGATGTACAAGTCAGTGTTTTTATCCTCCCAGACAAGTCTGGTACCAATTAACCGACCCCGGAGGGATGGAAGGCTTGGTTGGCCCGGGCGACTCACGACCCAGGATTTGATCCCGGACCGCTCGCGTGGTAAGCGTGCCACTTGCCACTACACCACTTCCGCCCTTTGATCGCCATAAAAAAAACTGAAACGAACCACTTGTAGGCATTGTGAGAGAATTGGTCGTGTTTGTAGCCATTAAGGGATACATCTATAAAAGGTTATCGAAATTCAATCTATGATTTATAACTATCGAACTGACCTCTTGGAGATGGTCAAGAAGCTGACCGCGTAGCGATTTGTCCTTTTCATCGTCGTCATTGCAAAACAAAATTGCGCAGACAATGGCCATATAGTTATCATTGTTCATTCACTGACAATTAACGATCTGATGTTTATATGTACACTATCGCAGAAAAGTAAACGCAAGAACGCGTGAATCAATAAACACAAAATATTGAGTTGTAGCGTAAGTTTCAGCTACACTTATATTTCCTTTTTTGTTTTGTTTTCATCCATTTTAATCTACCAGTTTTGCTCCGCCCGCTATCGCGCGCATCACACGGCAGGCTTTAGCGAAACTGGAGGACCCATGGAATATCAGCATGAGGTACTCCATTAACCACCTCACTATTGAATGTGTTAGACCTTTCCCAGTTTCGCTGAAGTCCATCGAGAATACGCGTGATAACGTCTGGAGCTGAATCTGGCATAT